TAGTAAACATTCTTAAATTGCATAGAGAAACATTGTTATGCACCATTTAGAATTTGTTGTTCCAGCGATGTTGGAGGCCCCAAATGATTCCTTTGTTACCATGTTAAGTAAATTATCTATCAGTTAGCTATACATTCAGAACTATCAAAAGTCTCATACCCTCTGATAAGTTCTTCTATATTTTTCGTCGACTTTATCGAGGTAATATGTTCCCGGGAACATACTAGATATGCTGCTTTTAGGGCTGAATGGTGCACTATGGCAATTTTGTTCTCTCCATTCCAATACCTTTGTGTAATCTGTGGGAGAAAACTTTTTGCGAGCTTCCAACTGATTCTTTATATACGAGAGAGATGAGACAAATTGTGCTAACTTAGGTCCAGCATCTTTTGTTATTGTTATCGAATACATAGTTGAACAAAGACCGGAACCATAAGAAAATAATCCAACTTTAGAGCCTGCCAACTCGCTTATAGGTCTATTAACAAGTAAGGAAGCTAATCCACAATATACAGAAGGAGTGTACATATTTCCTACTTGATTTGATAAAAGCAACGTTGGTTGTGTTTTCTGATTAAAAGCTGCTTTGCTTAAAGTTGTAAATGTCTTTTCAATGTCTCTATTGAAGTAAGTATCCTCGAGCTTTATGCCATGATATTTGACTAAATCTGGATATTGCTCAGCCACTTTGTCCTTAGGCATATTCAAGAAATCGTTTAAAGCTAATCTTGCGAATGACTTTTGTACCAGTTTACCATATGGAGAATGAAACAGAACTGCATCAAAGCTATCTAAACTTATACTTTCTTTGTACTTGTCCCTGACCTTATCACGATAAGTCTGATAACACTTATCCACAGCATTGAGGTAGCATTGAATTGATAATTGTCCATCCACAATAGGATATTCAGAGTTCAAATCAGGTTTATAAAAATCATACGCGTGTTCCATATAGGATGATCTTATCCCACGATCGATTACTAAAGGTGCATCTGGACCAACTATCATAGCAATGGCTCCTGCACCGCCAGTTGGCCTAGCAGCTCCAGGTGCGTACACAGCATTGTCAGCTGCAACAACTAGAGCTAGTCTGCCATCCCATGCACTGCTCTCTACCCAAGACACAGCATTGAAAAGGGCAGCAGTACCTCCGTAACAGGCATTGGTGGAGTCCACTCCCTCTATGTCTGCGTTGCCATGCGGTTGAAACAACTGCATAAGGACAGACTTTACCGACTTGCTCTTGTCTAATATTGTTTCTGTTCCAACCTCTAATCGGCCAACATCCTTGGGTTTAATGCCATACCTATCCATTAATCGGTGCACCACCGTCAAACACAATGAATTAATATCCTCACGATCATTGCAGAAACCCATCCTGGATTGGCCTAATCCGATGGTATACTTTCCAGCAGTAACTCCATCGAACTGTTCCAACTCGGTTTGCTCAACGTACTGAGCTGGAAAGTAAACTTCCATCGCCTTGATGCCGACGTCCTTTGGCCACATGATGTCTGGCTTTTTTTCGTTTTCTTCTCCTAATCTCAGTTAATTGCTTCGACCGACGTTCCTCTTGTACAATTGCTAAAAGTGTAGATTCATGACAATACGTAGGAACGGGATACTGCGACCGTGTTTGAAGGCAATACACGTGACACCGGTTTAATCGAATAATGCCGTCGAAAATTTCTGTTGGGTTTATGTAATGTCTCACTGGTGGCAATTAATAACAATGACAGTACCGAATAGATTGGACTGGATATCGTCGAATGTTTTCATCGCAATTAATTCTACTTTCTTTGAGTTCATACCTTCCGGTCAGGAAAAATATGTGCTTCGGGGGCAGCGGCCGGGCCACTACTAGAAGCAAGTCCAGCGGTGAATTCAGGTTAGAAGTGAAACTCGACAGGTGAAAATTACGGTCACTGATTTGCTTCCTATCGCGTGCTTTGAAACTCCTCTGCTCTTCCTTTTCCACTCGTCGGGTTTGTCCGACTAAATCAGCCTTCCGAAGACACAGACTTACAAACTAACGTTCCACGCGCAAATGCTGCTCGCCGAACTGCCGCCACTTATTCAACCAGCCATCGGATCGTTTGGAGGGGATAACAAATTCGTTTGATCGTGTTTGCGGATTCATTATGCAGAATGCGTCAGGAAGGTTTGGTCAAATATTTTTACAATTCCATTTAGTAGACAGACTTTATTAGTCGTTCTGCAACATTTATGTTACATTTTCGGCATTATTTTTGTAATAATGAAAAATAATTATATAAAGTGTATGATAAAAAATGATTACAAGAATAATTTTGCTAAACAATTAAAATGTATGGTAGCCAGTAAGGATTGCAACAGTGCACATACTTGAACGGCAGTAAAAGAGCGTTTACACGACGGGTATCCTGGGAGAAATCTGAATGTACCGTTTTTCATAGGGAATTTTTTATGGGAAATAATTATAGATTTGTTTGCACAAGTTGGACCAAGGCGAACGTTTGACGTAACACGTACATAACGGTACTAATGAAAATAAGCAAGCATCGTGCGGAATGAATTTTCGTGAAAGCGAACGGTACCACCTTGGATGGATTCGAATGCGTGTGCCATCCGGATGCCACTGATGGAATTAATCGTTAGATAGAGCTGCGAGAAATTTCACTTTTAACGCTGGTCTTCTGCACGCTTGCATCTCACACTCTTTTTCTCTTTCACTTCATCATCATCTAAAACTAAAAATACACCGTTTTACAATTCGAATATGACCAGCCAGAATTATTATGCGCGCCACGTAATTTATTACATGGATCTACATAATTTTTCGTAACCATTAAACTGGGTCAAGCGTATCACATTAACACCAGGGGTACTGTTTGCTACGGCCTAACATGTTTTGCAATACCTTCAGTAATGTTCTTATTATAAGATGAATAAATAAATTTATACAATAATTCTTCGAAAAAAACATGTTATCATTAATCATGAAATAAAAATCCCGGTAAAAATATAGGTCGTCTGACTTATGTAGTGGCATCAGCCGTTTACAATACAAACTGTCAATAACAGCGCTTACGATTGAAAATAATATATTTACGTATAATTACCATTGGATGGAAATGTGTTCTAGAATTAGCATTTGATGTAAATAATTCAGTAGAGTACAACGTAAAACGTGAATATTTTTACATACTTGACTTTGCATCTGAATAAGACGAAGTCAAATGCTTATTTTCTGAGAGCATCTATGTCAAAGTGTGATGTTTTGAGCGAAAGTTTGCGTTTCGTTGTTCATAATTCATATCGGGACAACAACATGGCGGGAAAAAGAAGGCAAGTTCAAACAAATTACATTGCGCGCGCAGCTGTTACAAAGTTGTCAACTGAAGTTGCAAAAGACACGTATAATATGAAAAACGGTATGAAAAAAATGTATCGTAATATATAAATAATTGTATTGCTAATGTAGAGATAGTGAGTGGAGGGAATCTTGACCTATAACCCAGTTTCGTCATATTAGATGTGTTCAAGGTCATGCAAAGGAAAGGAAAGGAAATGATATTTGCAGGCAAAATGGCAAATGTCGTTTTTTGGGTTCGAAGCGGTTCAAAAAACACTCATGATCGTTTTATATATAATTTACTGAATACATAATCCTAAAGTATAATAATATACTAATCGTGATTTCATGATTATTATTAATGTTGTTGTTGTTGTTGGTGTTTAATAATTATTATTATTATTAATAATATTATTACAATGTGTTCTACAAATAGCGGCGGCAGCTTCGTTTTCGTCTGGCACGGCAAAATATAGTTTGTTCTTTTTTTTTGTTTCTTTTGTATACTTTTTCGCCTGAATATTCCGTGATTCGCGCACACGCATAATTTCAGAGAAAAAACGTATTCAGATATCACCTACCTTCGCGTACGAATACTTTTTCCCCCGCTATGCATACGACACGTGCGATTAATGATCGTGAATGCCGTTTTGTTCAACATGATTCTGACGATTATCTATGGAAATATCGTTAGTGTCACTGAGTAAAGTACAACATACAATAATCGTTTCGTCGTTCCCGGAATTTCAATAGCTACATTGACCGTGGCGGAACACCGAAACGTATTTCAAGAGAATCGTTTCGTAATATAGATTGCATACACTCAGGTATTTAAAAAAAAAAATCGTGTTTCCAAGGAATATATTCGTGTAAATAAAGTTCGAATTACATGAAATTCAACACGGTGATCGAATCGTAGTTATGAGGAACGTAACTGAGAAAGGTAGACAGAAACAATTACATATTTTCAAATGGTAACAAATAAAAATGTAATGCTACGTTAGTTCTCGAATATAATCCTATTACTACCGTGTCTGGATGTATGCAACCCTTTTAGCGTACGCGCAGGGACCACAGACAAGCTTCAGCACTGTGACGGCCGCTGTCACGTAGACGCGATTTGCAAAAATGATGTACATCGATAAAATTATGATATTATTTCAACGATAGGATAAGCGCTATTGCCTTCGTCGTCTCGTTGAAATGGTATCAGGTCGCCTGATAATATCCTGCATATTATCGCTGGAACTACCGGAGAAATCGAAAGCTGCAGATCAACTGAATCAATTTATCAAAATCATGGCACCTCAAAAAGTTAGATCTCAAAAAATGCACTGTTTTCCACAAACATGCTTATTCACTTTGACTGCTTGGTACTTCCAGTGTTAATATCGATGGCTTCCTCTACGTTTGGATAAAGACCCACTTGCATGTCTGAAGATAAAGATACAGTGAGATCACGAATCGAGGTTCTTTAAGTCCATTGTGGATTCACTTGAATGTATAAAGGGTGTGGTGCCAAAGCATCTTGATTTTCTCAAGTTAGTTGCTTCTTTGAAAAATGTTCGAGAAGCTAAAGTCTCTTCCGAAACATATCAGAGCTTATGATTACAACGGCTTCTAGCTCACTATACCATTTATCTGCAGCTACACCTTGAACCAAAGTAGAACTTAAGTACTCTACTACGCAATCTTCTTTTCGTCTCTATGTTCGTCGACACATCGACTAGTCAGATCAGCGTAAAATATCAAAGGAGTCTATCACCACTTTTATCGAATCTTATGGATCTCGATTAAACTAATTCAAAGTCTTGCTGTGAAGATTGATTATTAAATCCAGACCAGAAATATTGTTATCGATAAACGGGTGAAGCGACAGTCAAGATACGAAAAAAGAATTTGACAACCTTCGATCCTTTCACAGTGGAACAAGAAATCTCAGAAATAAAAGAAATATTTTGTATCTTACAAATTTAATAAGTACCTTGATATATACTTTGTTCGATTCATTGACCTTGGTAATTTTTAAATAAGATTACTCACATACTTTCAGGTCTAAATTAGAAAGAACGAACGTCGCGTGTATAATACAGTTTCGGCAATACTCGTGACAATAGAACGTTCTCTTTCAAACGAGTCTTTATGTTGTGCTATCTAAACGCAGATAGCGATCCGTCCATTGTAATCGCTAAGCGCTTTAAACTTTTACTTTTGGCTGTAGGCAAATTAGAGGACAAACTAAAGTCGAAGACGTGACCTTTCGCCTAAAGCCTGTGAAAGGGTTAGAAATTGTTATCCCTTCAGAAGCCACCCCTGTCATCTTCATATCTTAGACGTGCGTCAATTTACATGAAATTGCCGTTTGAATTAAAAGATTCTGGGAAACGAAATTTCTACATGAAGAATGAGAAACGTGTCGCGGCGATCTGTGTGCGTTTGGCGCATATCTGAATGAATATACAGGGTGTTAGAAAAGGTCGATCAAGACTTTAAGGATTTGTAGTACCCAGTGAGAGAGAGAGAGAGGGGAATGAAAAATGTTCAATCAATATAAGTCCGCCCAAAAGTCAATACTTTAGACAGAAAATCGACTTTTAGTATCTAAAAATATTCGATAACGTGAGCGAGTTTCACTGCGACATATTGAATGTAAATAGAGAAATTGATACAAGATTATTACATTAGCAACAACAAAGTTTACTTCACAAACTCAAACGTAATACACATTTTCAGTCTCCATTCAGCACTGAGCGTGACAAAGTGAAAGCGTTATTCTCGTATTGTTAGCAATGTCTGTTCATTATTTAAACATAGAAATGGCACATATGGATTTTGTTTATGGTCTCGCTTTTGGGAATACTTCCGCAGTTGTTTTTTTGTTTATTGTGTTAACAACCTTGAACTTACTTTCTGAATAAATTTCTCTATTTACATTCAATGAGTCGCAGAGAAACTCACACTCATGTTATAAAGAATTTTTAGATACTAAAAGCCAATTTTCTGTCGAAACGATTAACTTTTGGACGCGTGTTGATGGAACATTTGTTACTCCTCCTGCCAAGTACTATAAATCCTTAAAGTCTTGAACCCCCTTTTTTAACACCTTATATATAGCGTAGTCTACCTGCCATGCACACCTGAACAATTCTCTAATCGCTCATTGACTAAGTCATTGCTTCTGTTATAAATTTTCCTATTTTTTAAATATCAAACGTAGTCAGCAGGCGTGTACAACAAGCAGGCTACCCTGTATACGGCAGCTTCCTCAGAGCCTTGGATTTCGACGAATCGAGCTTAACATTATCAGTGCGGAGTAACGCGAACATTTTTCGATCGTGAAACCTCGTGAAACGTACGTTTTGCAAAATATTGCTTGTTTAGCTGACACGAGATTGAACTAGAAAAACGCGTACAAAATAGGAATGTAACACGTGGGACATGGAGAACCGCGTGTGGATCTTACTTTACAATTAACTGAATGACCTCACGTATTAGCTCTTATAGAAAATGCTTCTCCATTTTCGTCTTGGCACACGAGTAATTCGATTAGCTTAGATTACGGAACCAAGAGTGGGCAATCTAGTCTCAAAATGCATTGGCGAGGGGAACAGAGTCAACGAAAATGTTTAAATGCGTACACTTAGAAAAATTACAGAAAATGCGTACCATTGATTTGCCCATTCTTGTTACGAATACGGACAGGTTCGGGACAGGTTCGGGACAACTTCTTAAGTCGCCAACCGGTCCAAGCGTATTATTAATTAAACAATAAGTAATGTTATTAATGACACAAGAATAAAATTGAATACAAAGATTTTGATGACGTGTGACTCAATTAATCTTTGCCTCATTAATAGTAATTGTTTAATAATTAATATTAAACAATTTTTTAAACGAGATACAGAGAAGTCGTAGTTAGTAACTGCTTCGGTAAATAAGAGTCTTATTGACCTGGGTGTACTTACATCGACATTAAGATAAGTTGTTTGATACCGAAGTTATCTGTTTCTGAATGTTACAAAAGTGAAGCTGGTTAACAAGTTGAATTATCACGTATCATTAGATTATCATTGAAACATTCGGCTGTTGTTATCAGACGAGAATTGATAATCGTCTCGTTTGTAGCGGTGAGAACGAAAGGAACCGTCCCGAACCGGCAACGAAAAATCATACTTACAATTAATTTATACAATTTCATCTTAACGATTTTGCTTTTTCTTTGCTATCGATACAACTTAAATTTACACGAATCGGGCCTATCCTTAAGGTCTCCTCGATTCATTTATACATAAATATATATTTATATGTATATATATGTATATATATATATATATATAAATCTATATATGGCCACTGCTTTTTTCCATAATCACATTCAACCTTCCGTTGCGAAACGACGTTGAACGAAAAAAAATGGCGGGGGATTTGATCGCATGCGATATTTCATCTTGTTCATACTATTTTTGACAAAAGATGTGTTTTCTAATCAGTTAAGTAGTGTGTTATTTATACGAAGACAATGATTTCCATCTATTTTTATTACTAAACTGCGGAAGACCAGATAAATCATAGCGGGTTCTATAAATTGAAAAAAATACAATAGAATTCAATTCAATTCAGTAAAAGCTTTTACAAATGCAATATGCTCCGCAGTTTATTAATCGCGTTTAGAGAAATCATTTTCCACGTTCAATAAGGGGACAAATTTTGTTCACAGAAGATCTGATTTTTAATGAAGTACTTTTTGCCAGTGATAGTAATCGGGATGATGTCGATATCGCCAAACTCGATAACAGATTTCTTGCGATAGTTATAAAACGTATACCGAGCTGGGAAGATCAGCGATCAGTGGCGAACGAATTCTTTGTACAATTTGTTGTTCCTTAGGACAAGTATTACGTTTACGGTCGCTTTATTATCTTAAACGATACGAAATGATATTTAAACATCGATGCGATTCGTTTATCCTACACCTAGACACAGAGACTTTTGCACGCCTACATTTAGGTCGACGATGCATCGGACGTTTTTCCCTCTCGAGTATACGAACCATGCGGAGAGATTACCCGGTGAAATGATTGACACCTGCTGGACTTGTTACTCTGATTATGTATGGTACATACGATTGCACAAGAGCGATCAACACTGTCCCATCAAATTCATTGCATTTTGAACAGAAAATATATATCATCGAAGAGCAATGGAATTAAGTTCGACAGCAATCAATAATTCTTCTTTTAATAATTTTAATAAGTTGAAAATAATATATGAATACAGTTTTTTTAATTTTCTTACCGTGTTTTGAATTACATGTTCTCATTTTTGTTATATAAAATCCGTAATGTAGTAATTTTTATAAGTAATGATATGAGTGTCGAATATAAAGCTGAATAAAAATTAAAATGCTCGTTTCTATTTCATTGCTTTGATCACTCTTGCTAAACGAAACCACGGCCTCAGAAATTATGTCTACATTTTGTACAATATCGTAATTCGAATTATGCTAGTGTGATTTGTTGAACAGTAATAGTAGGAAGCGCGAAGAAGCACAGGCGAACACGATAGAAGAAACACTCTTTCATATCTCACTCCTGAAAGCATAAATGTACGAGGCGGCGGTACAAACGTGGGAGCGATATACACAGTATATGCGTTGACTGTGTTTTTTTTACGCAACACATATTCACTTTATTCGTCAACGAACCATCTGAACTACACTTGATCATCCATGATTTTCAGAGGTCTCATAGATGCGCAAAAAAGAACTCAACTTCCCAAAACGATTTTGATTCGATGGCACTAACTTCAAGCTATATTCCCTGAAAATTTCATCATAAAATTCATAAAATTAACGAAGTTACATAGGTCTTGCAATTAGACACCTGAATGTGATATTTTCAAAACGATGTTCTCAAAAAATTTATGTACCGATTCAACTGCAAATTGGTGCAACGATTTTCAAAAGAATTACATACTTTTTGCTGTAGATTATATTGTTTTCACACTTAAGAAAAAATGATAAGTTTTAGGCTCAAAACTGTAAAACTTGTTTAAAGAAACATGATGCTACATTTACAATTTAATGAATTTGTCAATGAAATTTGCAGGACATACACAACGTGAAAGTATAGCAGAGTTGAAAATACATAGAGTTTTTGATAAAAAATAGTGTTTCTCCAGAAAAAATGATGACCCCTCAAAGGTAGCACTGAATGACACAGAGCCCGCATTTGATTTTCTTTTCCTTGACTATAGTGGAAAAATCGAACGCGATTGGATTGCGTGTAGTTCGTAGGACGGTCGACGAATCTGTAACTTATTTTATGGTGAACCACAACGTCTCTTCATGTAAGATCAGCCGCTCAATTACACGAGAAGAAGCAATCTGTTCACGTCATTTTTTCCGTAGTCGATTTAGAAGATTCCTTTCTTCTTGCTCTTCTTGTCCTTGCCGTCGACAGCCCTGAAAAAAAGGAAACTGCATGTAAAACGGGACACTGACTGCCGAGGGATTGGATGGCAGCGTCACTTACAGTGTTAATGTAATTAGTCGCAGTTTTATCTATATTTGTAACTGCCATAGGGATTGCACACCTTTCTCTCTCTCACTCTCTCTCACTCTCTCTCCCTCTCTCTCTTTCTAATAAAGAATACTGATGCTTTCCTGTGCACACTCTATTATTTGGTCGTTTCAATTATCAACAACCGTCCTGTTTGTATGTAATATTCGACATTGATCGCATTTGAGTAATTAATCGGTTCTAAAATGAGTAACAACTCGATTCGCGTCTTATGTAACTGTTATGCATGACACATGGGGTTCGACGTTTCGCATCGATAAGCATAGTTTCAGGAAAACATGGGTGGAATTGTGCACTTCGGTTCACGATCGTGTTAAACAGCAATGAAGAAGACAAAATATAAATATCTAGTCATGCCAATAAAATCATGCTTCCAGAAATGTACGATTCCATGGTCGACTTCAGCATCGAAGCCGCATGCTCCTCTTATCATGATGTGAATTACCGGACTGCGGATCTTTGTGCAAAATCAATTTTTCTGCAAGAACTAGAGCTTTAGTTCAATTAACTTTCTGCGAACAACTGTTTGCTATTTTGTATTAACATAATTGCGAATTTGCATAAAGTCCTGCAGTCTAGCGATCGATGAATTATTGAAGCAGTACGGCGCATTTCGAAACTCGAACAGTTTTATATAATGAACGAGGTGTTCTGTATCTTTTTGTAAACAGAACTCCCGAACAGAATTATTAACAGAATTATTTCTCCACTTGGTGATTAATTAAGTTAAACGCAGGAGTACAAAGGATGCAACTTGAATAGAATGTCGGAGAGTCGTTGTTTTCTGTTTTTATGGACTAACTTTTCCATTAACTCCACTTTGTTAAACATATCTTCTATCACAAACAGTTATAAAGAGTGTTTTCTAATGTGCAATACCCATTTCAACGGTGAAAGCTCTTATTGGGACCTTGTTCCTTAGACAAAAAAATTTATTAAATTGACTCAAGAAACGCACGAACAAAATATCTCAATGATAATTTAATTAATTTAGTTTAATAGAAGGTAAACCTGATAAAGGTCAAGAATAAATTTGCATTCTCCCACCAAATATACGTAATCATTACTGGAGTACAAATAAGATGGCTATAGTTCGGGAACAAGGTTCTTTCTTCGTTGCTTCTGTGACTAACAGTTCACCGGTGAAGTGGGTGGCACACATTAATAAAACACCCTATTACAGTCAACGAAGAGGACAATAAATCCAACGAAGACTCTTCTGCAACAAACGTGAACATAATGTAGTCTACAATTACGTACAATGATACAACGTATAACCATTTTGTAAGAATTGAAAAATGTAAGAGTGCAAGAGGTTTAGTAATGAGAGAAAAAATGCTAAAGTGTAACGATGAATTAACTCATCGTCAACAGGTGAAAACAACGTGTCCCCGACGTGGAGGTCCGTGGATCTCGCTTGTGAGTTTTGCAGAGAGGCTAAAATGAGGACGAGAATGGTTAGTAAAATGTTTTAGGAAAGCATTACGTTTATTTGCGAAAAAAGATTCAGTGTTATCAATTAACAATGTATAATAAAAAGTCGTTCGCGAGTATTCATTCTCGTCGGCTGTGTTCTTTCACCCTTTGCCAAGCTGTCTGCTTTTCTTATCGATCTTGAGGGAAATGCCATATGAGAGTTATGGAAACATCATCACACATGTCGACGCATGCGAACAGAACCAGTTGGAATGTACGATAACACGGTCAGAGAACAAAACAGTGGAAACCTTAAATTATGTAGACAGCTTGCTCAGAGTTTACAAATGAGCTCTCTTTCTCGCTACCTTTCGCTCTCTCCCACACTCTCCTACAAACGTGTTTTTTTTGTTAAGTGTTAATTCTGGTTCGATACAGACAGTTATTGTGTTCAACGAGCGTAACGCAAAAATAGCTGCAGTGAATATAAAAAACAGTGACATTCGTTATAGCAGTATAAACGGTCGTTCGCGTTTCTTACATAATGTTTATCAAATTTTTGTGCCAAAAATACGCCCCCTCTAAATATATGTCTATATATATATATATATATGGGGCTAACGTAAGTATTACTGTCGAAAAATTCCTTTTCCTTTCCGTTTTCCTCTTCGATATGAAACTTGCCTCCAGCTTTTTATTCTATCTAAGGTTCAGCTTCTCACGCAAAAAGCACAAAATCTCCTATTAATCTTTCTTCACTTTTTTTTTTCCTTTTGTTTCGTACATAAAACTCTTGTCAACTATTAGATATATTAATCGCTGCAAAATGATCTCTCGTCTGCGTTCAGTTCTTGAACGATTCGATCGTCGTCGTAAAAACAGACGATCGTTGGTATCGTTAATCTAGCTGCACTTATCACCCTCGACGAGGGTGTACGTTCGACAGTGTTCAAGGATGTTTGATGCGCTTTTGCTCGTCCACGAGATAAGTAGAAAAATTATAAAACATAGTCTCTTAGTGAAGAGTACGCAGGGAAAGTACTAATCATTTTAAGTTCTCACACTTAAAACTACAAAACGTAAATGAAAAATTAATGTTTGCTAAACAGACTACTAAAAAAATAAACTTTTCTAATCCATCATCGAAAATATTATGGTTAGAAATATTTTTGCAAAATGCGATTCGCACAATTCGCTGTCAGAGCTACAATTTTATCAATTCTAAAATGCAATTTACAGAATTTATAGGCAAAAGTATACAGTTTGAGATGTGTGTATACTTGAAATTTTGCCTCCCCCAAAAATCGTCAATGTACAAACTACTTTCCATGGGTGTACGAGGTCCCTTAAATGTATTAATCGAACATTTAGTTAATTTATTCAATGAAAGAAAACAAATGTGTACGCAAAACAATTGTTGACTCCACGCATCGTTGTTGCTCATCATTTTGATGATCTTGTAAAATAAGCCCACGCATCGAACGTATTTTGCGAGTATCAAGATCGACGTTGCTCGGATTTTTTTGTAAATGTTTTCTGTTTTTTTTTCTCCATTTTCTGTTTTCTTTTAGTCCTTTGATATAGCGGCGTATACAACACATTTTTGTGTTTGCAAGTAAATGTAGACAGACACTCTACGATCTACTAAGGATGCTCGGGATGTTGTATGACAAGCTGTATCTGTGTAGGGCTGTCTTGAGGTGATTTGAAACTGGTGTGACGGCGTAGGAGACTTCCTACTATCCCTCGGGAACCCTTCAATGTACCCCCGCCACCGCCAGATCCCTCGGAAGACACTGATCCCGTCCTAAATTAGGGACACCCCGATATGGTATACACACAAATAACAAACAAGCGCAAGCATGACATTAACATTCGTACCTTAAAAAAGCTTTCCTTCGTATACGCACAGTGTTCTCTCGCCAAACAATTAAAAACTCTTCCCTCGTCTATTTCTTTATCAATTATTACATTATAAAGTGTCTTGTATTTCGTACGAACATCTTATTTTATTTCTACACTGAACACAGAATACAATTTTTATAAGGTGTGATTCACAAAGTATAACACAAAATTTGGGTTATGAAATTATCTATGGACAATCAACAATGGACAATTTATTACAGTCACTAAAGCGTCCTACTGTTATAGCAATTTGGTAGTTAGTACGATTTTCCTTTATTTTCACTCTTCACAAAATAAGTTCGAAATAGTAAAACAAAACTACGATGAACACAAATAATATATTCACTATTGTGGAACCATTTAAAAAAATGTCGAGAAAACACTGTGCATATTGTCAATGTACGTGTTACATCGCACGAGACATTCAGTGCTAACTTTGAAAAAAAAATGTTCCGAAGAACAAGCGTGTCTTTGTAACTGTGGTACAAAAAAAAGTATAAATATAAGTATATAAATCCATTGCAAAAAGTTAACGTTAATATTTACACTCTTTTCTTTATTGTATCACACTTACTAAGCCACCGAGCGTTCATGAAATAATTTGTATCTTCTCCATAAATAAAATAGGGACAGTCTGAGGAGGTCTTGTGTCACATGTTTCAAGAGATCCTAATTTATGACCCTAAAAATTATAAAAAGTTAAAGCAAAATAAAGTACCAAGTTTATCAGAAGCAATTGATGTATCATAATTACTATTGAACGTTCCAAATAAGCTGCCGCCAGTACTTGTAATTTAGTTTTTAACTTCGCCGTTTTTTTTCACAGATGACGCCACAAATCTTAAATTTTCCAAGCCAGTTTCGTGAGACACGTGACACAAGATTCAGGATCTGTCCCGCACTGGTTTTAGTTAGGATAGTGCAAATATTGAACAGACACGATAAGCAATCTATTGTAGTAAAATAATATTCAATATGGAAAAACAATGTTCGATCTCGGGATACCGCGTTTTTTTGTCTAGACTCGATTACTTTAATTATCTCCGGATGGGATAACGTTAATGAAGAACATCTACTAAATTGACTTTAACGAAGTTTTAAAAGACGGTTATACTGAACATGCTCATTAATGATTATTAGTTGTTTCCTGCAATTAGAGCACAAGCTATGTCATGAATCAACGTCTATGGAACTCTCACATGTTTTTAATTATGTCCAGCTGATTAGTAGCAGCGAAATTGTATGCGACTGTTTATTGCAAAGCTCTGAATTATATAAATAGCTTTTGTGGCACATTATAGAAAACGATTTTCTGAAGCAAAGATTCAAGCGACTCGACAAAAATTCTAATTCTGTATAAGAACAAACTGATTTATCGAAGTATTCACAGCTGACATCGAAGCGGTTTGTCCATTTACCTATAAATATATATATATATGATAAACGATGTTTAAAGCTACGTATTCTTTGGGTAATACCTGTCCATTCGTGCAGGAAGCGGCTGGTTTCTATTTTCAATATTGTTTCACACCGAAAAGAATGGTCAACGTAACGATCATTGTAATACCAACAACTAAAAAGCGGATCTGTTGTGGTCGAACAATACTCACTCTTTTGAATTGGCCTCCAGGCTGCGTCTGCGAAGCTCCTCGATACTCTGACCAGTTTGTTGCTCCCATGCTAACTTCTCAGCCTCGAATGCTCGCCTTTTCTCGTCTAGCTCGCGGACCTGCTGCTCCAGGGAGCGTCTCATCTGCTCATGCCTTCTTTGTAGCTGGAAATACATTTACCTTGCTTAATCAAGAAATCTCCAACTCAAATAATTACGTCCAAGCTTAGAGAACTGTACCCAATGATTATAAGACCTAATAGTGCATTTCTGCAATTTTTTTGTAATTTTTTTTATTAGAGAATGAGGTCTCTGGTCGTTTGAAATTTAGTTGCAACGACACTTACATCCGCTTCAGAGTCCTTAAGCTTCTGCCTCTTCTCTCTGACTTTCATCTCAAACACTTGCTCCATGTCGATCTCCATCTTCTTCATTTTGTTTTCATGTTCCCTCTTCTCCTCCTCCAATTGTGCCAACGGGTTCCTATAAAATAGATGAGAATAATTTGAATTTAGGATAACTTCGCAGAATTTAATTTTCAAAGCCCTGTTCTGCTTCTTGTTCATTTTTTCTCGTTTGTGTGTGTGTGTGTATGTGTGTTCTTTTAAATCTATCTACACGCAAAGGCAGGGGCAAACAGTTAGAATTGTATTTATCGGGTGAGTAAAAATATTCATTGAAAGGCACTAACTTTGATGTTAATAAAACTTAGATATAATATAAAACATGGAAAAATGTACAAATATTTTTTAACAGTCATTACTTGCATTCGGAATATAGAAATAACTCTTGACTTTGCAATGTTCGTATTGTGGATTATTTTCATCCCATAAATGTGGTCAGTGTATTGCAGATTTTATGCGTGTATATCATTTGTCATGTTCTGCGATCTAATGATTAATATTTGTTAAAAAAGAATATATGTAAACTATTTTTTCGAGTTTCATATTACACTTAAGTGTCATTAAATTGGGCCACAGAGTATGCCTTTAAAAAGTTAGTTCTAGAAAGCAGGCAGCTTCGTATGGTATATCCGATGTCGTTAACTGCAGCTAGCGACATGATTTTGGTAAACCGAAAATACAAATCTCATGAAAAATATTTTCTAATGCAATCTACTTACAGAAACTAAATGATTGACTCAGAGGGTTCACTGCCAATATAAGTTATCTATCCTAAATGAAATGCACATATGGTGTATCTAATTAATTAATTAATTAATTAATGGTGTGAACCCTCCCCCCTCCCAACTAAATACACCTAGACTATGTACGCAGTAAATGGTAACTGAACAAGGCTTGTGCACACAAAACTATATTACACGATACCCTGGCCTTATTGAAAGACTTACCACACTGTCATGAAACTGTTCATCACTCCTGGGGGGCACAAACTAACCAATAAGAAACCAGCATTAAAATTCAAGTAGAGGATGTACCATTGGAAAATGTGTTTTCAGGAGCACTTTCCTCTCTAGCTTATTTCTAGAAACGCGCCTGAACGAGACCGCTAATATTATTTCAACAATTTCACCTTGCTTGATCTTTAGATCTCTTAATAGTTTGCATGCACAAGCTTTTCGAAATTTTCACAGTAAAAACCAAAAAAGGCTACAAGCATTTGTAATCGTTTGCGCTAAAAAGTAAAAGTAAACTGATGTAATCAACCTATTACAGGATCATGGTGTTATATTCTCCATATTGTATATTGTTCTGTATTTATTGATCGACCTGTATTCACTGACCTGAACGCGCATTTTTAATATCAAAAACGACATGTTTCTTAACAGTTCCGTTTTCTAGTCAAAGTATACGATGTCCTCTCTGAATAGAGCTTGAATATTGTGTACGCTTACCTATTTGAGACTTTTGTTGGCTTTCCATCGACGCCAACGCCAGCCAACGTGCGACACCGGAAATTCTCATAGTGCACGTTGTTCGTCACGTCTTTCAAGTCTTGCAAATGTGTTCTGATTACCATGTTACGAAGGGCGATGAAATCGCAATGCTCCAAATTCTCCACTGCCGAACAAAAAAGGTCGTGAGTTGCATCGAAGCTTAAAATAATCAATACCGTACCCTACAAGGCAACATAGTTATGTGATTTCCACAGATCTAAATTTAAAAATATGTATTCAGGGATAGACAATTAGATTCCTTTTTAAAGTGCGCATAATTCTGGTATTTAAAAAGTTCTTCTAGCTCCATTGCTTTTTAAGTTTAATGCAATTTCCTGTTTTGGATGGACGACAAAGGAAAAATCTTTGTAGAAGCTACTTCCCAGCAAAGTTGATTCGAATCTGTGGATGTCAGTTCGGTATGTTCTGTAGTAAGTCGGTTTTAAATTTATTAAAGTAAGCACCTTCCGCGATTCCCCAAGGATACTTCCTCCCACGAACTTTCCTACCGTCTTGTTCAACGACGGTATTCGCGCCCACCACCGCAAACGGGACCCTATCTCGAAGAACTTTATGCAGTTTGCTCTCCTCCTCTTCTTCCACTTCGGGAAACTCGTAGATCTTTATCTTGTGTTGCGCGATCTCGTTTAAAATCTAAACAAATGAAAACAAAAATCTCATTTCCATAAGTGACAGAAATATTTCACAAAACACGATTTTATGAAGTGTTGTTGTATGTAATTGTACATATATTATACAATAAATTACATTTTTTTCTTACGAACAAATAATTTTGTTTTAAAGAATCAAGTTCATGTTATGAAGAATGCTGTTGGAAATTCTATGTGCGTAATAACGCATGACACGGGGAACTGTGTGTGTCATGAACATACTTGTTTCTTAAAGTGAGCACATTCGTCCGGTGTCATGGTGTCTGCCTTCGCAATGACAGGTATGATGTTCACTTTATCATGAAGACGTTGCATGAACTCAACGTCTAATGGTTTCAAGCCGTGGCCCGAGGGTGCGACAAAGTAAAGACAGCAGTGCACCCGACTATCCGGTATCTGTCTTCTGACTACTCGGGACTCGGCGTTCAGGAACTCCTCGTATTTGGACTCAATGTACTCGATTACTGGCACCCAACTGAAATCAAAATGTACTGCTGTAAAATCACAGACTTTTCCATATAAAGACATTCTATAGAGACGTGTTCCGAATTACCAATTGCTATTGTCAACCGCATCGCCGAAGCCTGGTGTATCGACAACAGTCAGAGTAAGGTTCACACCGTTTTCCTTCAGCAACACTTTGCTAGTTTCTACGGCTACAGTCTTTTTAATTCTAAGGCTAGGACCTGGGTACTCTGCGCTGTATATGTCAGCGAGGAACATCGAGTTGATCAAGGTCGATTTGCCTAATCCAGACTCCCCTGAAAATTATAAAAATAAATGTTAATTCCATTGAGAATCACTCTGTGTACAAAGGCTCGATATAATTTAAACAAATATCCAATCATCCTTTATACAAAGATTCGATAGAAAATATTGTAAAAAATTAGTAGAAGTATTTTGGAAAAGTAATGATAAGATGTAGTTATTAGATTTTTTAAAAATATAACTCAGAATGTTTTGGGGGTTCGTGGTAATGGCCAATGGAACCTTTTTTCAGGCCACGGTTCTAAATACCAAACGGTGCCCTGACCTTTCAGTCTGGGTACCTTGAACTGGCCAAAGTGCCGCGCCTTCTCTTTCTCAAGGCTAAGCACTTCAATTGCTCTATTTACGGAGAAAACGGCGCCGTTTATAACGGCGCTAATAATAGCCGCGGACCGCCTATATTCTCAAATTTCAAACTTTCATCCCGACGAACGGTCGTCGCGATAACTTTCGCATCACTGCACTCACTGTTACCGAATAACATCGGTGGGTATAGAATAAACAAATGGGATTTGCCCAACGGTTCTTTCATCGCTTGCCTATTCATCTATCAAACAAATTGTACTAATCATCCAACTAAGGAAATTAAAAATAATTAGTCTCAACCATTATGGATATGACAGGGATATGAAGATGAAAGGAATATTCTCATTCTATCTGAAATATTTTGAGATTTTTGCATTTAGAGTTCAACAAAGACGACGAAAGACTCGTGAAACATTTTTGAGCATTCAGATTTTATAGTGACCTCTGTAATTTCAATAGTGTTAAGATAGTTTCAGTGTCACCCTCTGAAAATGCTACACGGGTGACATTTTCTGTCGGTTTCTTTGAACCTTAATTGCGGAGAAGCGTGCGATGACATATCGAATTTTTAAAGGTTTCTTCGCTAACATCGTCTATGCAGTAGAGAACGGAATCGACGAGTTATCTCGTTAGCGGTTAACTGGGTACGAGTACCAAAATGGAATGCAAATGAGAGCCTCTGCTACTTGAAGACAGCCCTAATCCAGCCGGGTGAAACGAGCGAGTTCTGCACGTGTTAAGCAGATGGAAGTTCATAAGGCAATATCCTCGGCGAAATTGAAATACCAACCGGAGAGGAACGGGGATCTCTTTGTCTCTCGATCCCGGGAACCTCGGAGGAGGAGGAGAGAAAAAAATACACATACACACAAACGGCCATTGTACGTCCATTTACACAATGGACGTTAATGAAGGGAGTCGCAGGACGTCGTGCGACGCAATTTTGCAGCGTCCCATTCGCGAAAACGAATTCAGTTCAGTTCAGAATAAACAGAGTATACACGGCAAAGCGGAGTGGATGGTTTTAACCCTTGGAAACCGGGGAATGTTATGGACGACTGCGCAGTCTGTCACGCCTGGGCCCATTCAGACCCTCGTTCGTCAGCTTTTCCGCAGATTTTTTTCTTCTCATGAACGTTTTTCGGTATACTTTTCAACCTATTTCTCCCTTAGCGTGTCTTATGATGCATTCGTAGTTGAAACGTTATGGGCTGAATGTCTATTGGAATATAGATTCTTTCAACACAGTAAGCATTACTGACAACCGCATTCTAGCTATTGGAGACAGTACTTTTGCATTTCGATGCATAATTTTTTGCCTGTACGCAGTTTTACAATAAGTATTAATATTTAATAATCTAATGTATACATAATATCGCATAAAAATGTACAAAATTTGTTCGTTTGCTAGCAAGCATGCTTCACTATTCTCAGAGTAGCAAGGGCTAAGATTTTTAAATTAGTATCAAGAACGCAAGGACACGGTTTACAATCCAATACATGTATCAGTGATTCGCACAGCATAGATGCTGCTTCAGCATAAAAATCATTCTGCTTACACAAGCATTTCTAGCAAATTCCACGTACCAACACTGTGACTGTATGATTAAAACAGTTCTATTAAAAGAGGACTGCGTGCCATGGGATATCTTTGCTTGAAGTTCATTCACCCTATTTCCACAATACAAGAAGACAGATCTAGTCGTGTTCGCTGTGCCTAGACCGCGGATATTTGCATTAACAGAACATTTAAATTGTCTTCATTCGATACTTTCATGTCAATAAACCAAATTCATTACAAAGGATCTCCGCTCCAACTACTCTTACATTTAACAACAATCTAGGCGAGTTGATATTTTCCTTTTATGCGCGATAAGGTGTGACTGATTAAAGGCCACTGACCTACAACCATTAGGGTAAAGTCGAAGCCCTTCTTAACCGCCTTTCTGTAGACTTGATTGGGCAGGTTCGCGAACCCGACGTATCCGTCGAGCTCCTTCGGCTTGGTCAGCGGTGTGGGTCGCGGGTGATGGAGGACCGCTGCCTCTTTGTTGGTGTCGTTGTTGGTCCTGTTCGAGTCCCGTTTATTGCTGTCGATCTCGGAGCCATCGTTCTGGTTCAGGATCACCGTCGACGAAGGTAGTCGGGGCTTCGTGATCGGCGCCGCTGAAGAGTTCACGCTCGTGTAGCCGGTCGGCGGGATAGACGGCGCCGTATTTGGCGATGCCAACGTCGTCGTCGTGGTCGTTGTCGTCGACGTGCTGACCGACGACGGGGCCTGAGACGGAGGCTGCGGGGGTGGGACCGACGGCACAGTTGGCGATGATATTAGTCCCGTGTTGTCCCCCTTGAAGAACAGCTCGCGTTTCGTCTGTATCTGAAACAACATTATGTTTATTAGCCGAGTATACGCAACCAGTAAGTGCTGGGGTTTTTAAAAATACCGTATTGTTTTTAAGAAATAAATTAGAAGAATTTAGGAATATCATTGTGTTCTTAAAGATACTTGAGAGTATCTAAGAAGTACTTAGGTACACCACTGTGTTCTTAAAGGTACCTAAGTATTTAAAACGTCTTTCGGAACTGCTACTATTATTTTATGTTCTTGAACTACCACCAAGAAGTATTTAAGAGCAAATGTTATACTCCTTTCTATTAACATCGTTATACCTGTAAACAAAGTTTACATTTATTCTATTTCTATATTAATTGATTAAAAAAAAGAATAGAATCGAACGAATAACAGTCCTTCAGAAAAATTAGAAAAGTTTATTTTGTGGACTGAAAAGTTTCTCCTTGCAATTATAAATGCATAAAGGTTCGTGAAGATTGTGCGAACAAATATGTAGGTCACTATAAATGAAAGTAACCAGGGAGGTCACGCGAGCGTGGCACGTAGATTTTAATGATATTTGCATGCAAGACAGCCTTTGGAAAATTATCTGACACACACCTTTTTTAAAGGACAATCATGCCTCGGTGGAAGGTGAAAACAGGCTACAAGCTTGCAAGTAAGAGACACGTTCGATAAACTATCTTGAAAACTGTTTGAATAATACACTAACCGTTAATAAACAATTGCAATGAATTATGTAATGGTGTCGTAACAGCAACAATAACGATCGTTCGAACATTGGACTTTTTAACCAGTTGGCTGTTGCAATTTATTTGAAAAGTTTGTAACTTATTGTAACTGTACTGTAGTATATGTTCGTTTTTCTTCATAGTTTGTTCAAATACAGCACTTTTATAAAATATATAATTTAATAAAGAATATCAAAGTACATATTCTTCTTAAACAGTTAAGAATAACTAGTTAGCTGTTTTCGACGAGTATACTCGTGACAAATATTTTTGTATACTCGTCATGAACGTTTTGTGTAATGACGAGTATACTCGTCGAAAACAGCTCAGTTAGGGAGACATTACTGTAATTGGTTAAAAGCAGATTCCATGCATACCAGAATTTTCCTAGGAATGAAGTCGTGCAATCAACGCTACCAATTAATACTAACTCGAAATATTAATAAAAGAGCTGAACGATAGTAAACAAGCGATGAACGAAAGAAAAACAGTTAGGCGATATATTAAGAAACAAGTTTGTGAACTGAATCCGTCGATACTTTGTAAACCATCGACCATAACAGTTAACGACACGCTACTCGAAGGGAACACGCGGCGCATAATTGCCATAACCCAGCCGGTTGGACCGCAAAATTGTGTGTTCGGTGATAAGACCGTAGTAATAAAGTTTCTTGACGCAAATCAAGGAGTGGATTCCACTTGGACAGCCAACGGTATTACGGACCGATTTGCACGACGTTCCCCGATACGGATGCAATAATGATACACGGTGAAATTCGGTTGCCGAGTCGAATCGAACCCAAGCCTGAGTCGAGTCGGCTCGAACGATTATAATTCATGACATCTGGAATTTCCACGTTAATGCCGTTACGAACAATTTCGCGACTCTGTATAGTCGTCGGATCAGTTGGGGATGAGGAAATGGCTCTCCGTATCGGCTCGGATCAGGCTGGGTGGATTCTCTCTCTCTCTCTCTCTCTCTCTCTCTCGACTTTATTACAGCTGCTCTTGATCCGCGTATCATGTCTCCGTATCCGTCCGAGAAATACCCATCTGCGCCAATAACCGTCGTTGACGCTTGAAAATAATATCGCTCCGGCTCCCCTGATTTGCATTAGGCCGACATCTAAGCCTAGATTCGCTCGTGAGAACTGTCTATGCTTACAGTTTAACAAAATGATCCTGCAGTTACTGTTTTTTGACACCAGTCAAATTCCATAACAGAAATCTTTTGCAACGTCATTATCGGAGGAGATATTTGGGCAGAAACGTTTAGATAGACCACCCTTATACATATAAATATAATTATTATATATTATATTATATTAATAATAATAATAATATAATATATATAATAATAATATATTTCAGTTAAAATTACTAAGTCATATTAAAAATGAGCGTAAATCAACATTCTCAGTAACTATAATCGAAATATGTAATGAAAGCACACAAAAAAAGAAATAGTCATTGAGAATAAAGTCTCTCCGCGAACTTTTGTATACTCCGTGAAATTCTACGCAGTTCAAGAAATTTTGATTTCTATTCAAACAGCCAGAGATTCTAGGCATCGAGGTTACCGCAGCGGAACAAGACCATGGAATTCGATGTTCGATTTGTTCTCGTTGTTTAGCAGCTATTCGAACGGGAAGCGTAACACGGTTACCGGCGCATACGGCGAATTTTTGCAAACAACCAGCCGAGAATTGTTTGGCGGCGAATCGAGGGTGGAATCGTCCTCAGAAATCGAATTTCCGAGAGACGTACGAACTGGCGCAACGACGTAGCAAATGTCACGCTCGATCTGACCGTGTTTCAACCCCTTGTACCCGCCGCCCCCGCTCGCCTTGTTCTTCCTTTAATGAAATCAGAATGGCGTTTGATCTAGTTTCGATTCCGGTTTCGTTGCGGGCCGCATAACGAGCTGTTTGTTCTTCGGGAAGGCCTATGTACGATTGTTTCTAGACCGTTATAGCATTAACCTAGTGGCGAACATTGATCCGACCGTGCGAATTATACGCTCGGACCTGATCGCGCCACGTTTTCTCCCTTTTACGGGGAGAGGGTCGACGATGAAATATGCAGCACATTCTAGAGAATGCGACCGCCAGAGTCGTGATTTTTGCAGTTTTTTTTTTCGTAGCGAACCCCGGCGAACACCGTTTGCCTTACGATCTATTCTCGAAGAAACCTGTCCGAACTGTCGCAAAATAAAACAAAAGTATTTCTGGTTTTCTTCAATACATTTGTGTATAAATATGGACGCTGTTTCATTCGTAATGGAACAGGTTGATCAAGTAATGCTGACATTAAATAAAGATGGAAAATATCCTTTTTAAGTTACGATGAAATCGGGAAAAATATCCTTAACACAATTGATATTATTGTGAACAAAATTTACAAATTATTTAAATTCCTTTTTAATAGCGTTCATTTAACAGTGTTTCTAATAATTCGTTGTAACTATAAAGATGCGATTTTAGATAGGAAAACAGACAAGAGACTGTGCAAATACCATGATAACTCTCTTTTTCATAGTTAGGAGAAAATGGTTTTTAAACATTTGAACGATCGGTATCGCGTGCATATATATTTTATACATATTATATTTTACTAGTAAATATGTGTATAAAAAACCATATACAAGAAGTCTTGTAGTTTGAAAACGTTATGGTTTGAAAACAATGAATTTCGGAGAAATCAAATTTTATGCATTTATGAAATAGGAAGCTTTATCACTGAAGTAGTCTCTGTTCCCACTGTGGTCGACGCACGACGCTTTTATTTTGCATGCAAATCTGAAGTTTACTCTGGTCATTAAACCTCTCGAAAACAATGTTTATATAACTATAGTATACTATATATATGTTTATATAACTATAGCATAACTATAGTATGAGTCACGAAACCCAATTGCATCTACATAAAATGCAATAAATTAGATGAAATGTAAATACTGCTTTGCAAAACAATGCCGTGCAAATGGCTACAAAACCGCGCGTCTTTATGCATTTATGGTTTGCACGAATTCTTAAAATATATCAACGCACCAAGTGCGATAACACTCGATGCAATCTTTATTTATTTCTGATCCACGAAGATTGTTACTACCACAGATGAGACTTTAGAATTTGTCTGACAAAAAATGGAAAATTGTACGAGACAATTGTAATGAATAACTGCGTCCATAATCTGTTAACGGGTTACCAGCAACATTTCAACGCGACGGACAAAATAGTTGAATTTCAAATAACGGATACGACCGGACAATTCCAAGAATAAATTAGTACACGCAATAGACTAAGAGATCAATAAAATGAAACCTGTGTGCGTTTGAACAGGGGTTCGCGGATCGGACGAGTCGCACCGTATTATCTGTACGAGGCAGGAGTAAAAATGGCGAACGGAATTTCGGCGGAACGAATCGCGCAAGGCGTCGTCGAGATAGCCGACGCCAATTTCCCTGGAATAGCATTGCTATTTTTTTGCTCGATAATCACGTGAGGAAGAGGGCCGGGTATCGCGGCGCTGAATCAACAGACGCTGGGGGGAAAAAAAAGAAAAAAACACAAACAACGGGACAAGATAACGCCGCATCGCGAGAGCCAAGCAACTCGGTGCATTGCCAGCGATCGATATTTGCTTTGCATAGAGCGGCACAGGGACGCGCGGGTCAGGTTTGAGTGGCGCAGTGTCTTATGAACATCCGGCCGGAAGTGGCCGCTGTCCGAAACGCTAAATACAGGACCGGCGATCATGGTCGCTGACTCGTGCCAGCGTGATTCCCGCGAAACCGTGAATTAGTTGCAGTCGAACGACGCCGAATACACTGGCCACGCTCGAACCGGTGAACTTGTTCCCTCCAATTCCGGTCGAGCATTGTTTCACGTTATCCATTCGTTACTTATGCGGCTGTTGTCGTGAAACTGGAGGCATCGGATTGTCGCATAAGTGTGGTCGTTGTTCAGAAGTGCGCATCGTTGTCGCCGGTTTGTTTTACGCAATTTATTAACCATAAAAAATAAATAAGTAGATCGAATACAAAACAGTAGATATATACAAAGAATTTTGGGAAGATTGTTGCATTACTTTTAGCTGATTAAAATTATTCAGAAAAGAAATAAACGTCTATGTAGCTCCTTGTAATTAGTACAGATAATGTTTATTTTTCATAGAAAAATCCGCGGTCTAGTGTTCCATAGTCTATTAAGTCTATCTATCTAAGTTCCACAGTCTAGTAATTCATAGTCTATTATGCTATGCATAATATAGTTAGAAAACAAGTATAATCTT